ATCCAATACAGAAAATAAACACTATGATAAAAATAAGAAAAAATAAAAAGAGAATTAAAATGAGTGAGTGTGCCAGCACCTTTTCGACACCGCCACCTTTGCCGATTTTTAATTATTTTTTGGCATTGACAAATGCCCTGAAAATTTACAGATATGTAGTTTACATAATCAATAACTCATTAAATTTTTTTCAAAAACGAATAAAATTGTTTAGGCCCCGAAATAAAGTGAAAACAAAAAGTCAAAAGTTAAAAAAAACAAAATAGTGAGTGGGCGAGCACATTTTGACACCCCCATCTTTGACGATTTTTAATGTTTTTTTGGCTTAGCAAAATGGCTTCAAAATTTATAGGCATCTAGGTTACATCATAGAGAACTCAGAAAAAAAAATTCAGAAAAAAAAACGTATTTTTAGGCCCCGAAATATGTTTTGGCGGGGGCCGAACCTGGAGGTGTTCGGCCCCCGAACGGGACCCCGAACGCCCGAAAACGTTCGGTCAGGTAACCCTGTATATACATATATATTTGTGACTATATATGGATATGTATATATAATGGAATAATGAAATACATAAAAATAATGTAAGAACACCAGAACCCTACCCTCTTCACCCGAATTCAATGCGAATTCAATGCAATGTCATTATCGCTGAATCTGGACTGGGAATTCTCCCAGAAACAGCAATAATGACCCCGAGTTCTATTCGGGGGTGATGACCGTAGTCATTCATGCCAGTCTAAAAGCTTCTCGCTTTATGACTTTATTATGATATATATGGATAATAAATAAATAAATATGTCAATAGACGGTGGGACCGGTAGTCATTCATGCCAGTCTAAAAGCTTCTCGCTTTACGACTTTGTTAATAAATTATTATGATTTACATGGATAATAAATAAATAAATAAATATGTCACAACGGATTTGCTCGGCTGCGACAGTATGACGGCACACCTATGATTTGCATTTTTTGTTTTTTCAAAGGAGTTCTATCAAGAAACATTATAAGCAGCCGGACCCGTTTTCCGGCATACAATGGAATGGTGTCCAAGTTCAATAATAATAATAATAAAAAAAATAAAAATAAAAAACCACCAGAAGGACCCTGAGCACTTAAAAATAAAATTAAAAAAAGGTTCCATAGCCCGTCCCTCAGAGGCCCAAAGTTACCCATTTTAGGATTTTTTTGGAGAAGTGAATGTCACTTCTCCAGGCTACCACCTCCTCTAGAAGAGGTCACTGGCTTTCCCATTAAGAAAGTGAAAGGAAAAAAAAAAGCCACTTTTTTTTTTTTTTGGGGGGGGGGGGAATAAAAAAAGCCACTTCTCCAAGACCCTGGCTTTTTTTCTGGAAAGCAGCAAACAAAAAAAAAGCCTTATCTTTAGGCCGAACGGTGAATCGTGAATCCAATGATTAATTACCCAGAAGAAAATCATGAGGTAGTATTCTGATTGCCCAGTTCATCTCTGTTAATCTCCGTTGATCTCCATGATTGTCATTGATGCTCAACCCTAACCCTCCTCTCTCTCTCTCTCTCTCTCTCTCTCTCTCTCTCTCTCTCTCTCTCTCCT